CTAAAATGTAAGAGAAATTATATATTCATTTAATAATAACGAAAATAATTAATTTTTGTTGTTTTATTTTATTTTATCTCACATACAAATTTTTTGAAAATATATATTAGGAAATATGTGCAATGATTTAACTTTTTGAGCTCCTAATCTATATTATTCAACCCTCATTAAGCCATCCACGTATGCACCCAAGTGGAATTCAATTTTTTTTTTGTTTTTTTTTTGTTTGTTCGTTTTGGATTTATTTTTTATTATTTTTGGGTTGAGCTATATTATAATAGGATAGTTTTAAGGTTTTTTAAGCCATCCGCGTAGGCAACCACGTGAGACTTGTTTTTTTTGTTTTTTGTTTTATTATTCGTTTTGGATTCATTTTTATTTTGGGTTTGAACTTATTAAGGTTTAGGGTTTATACAACTATTTTGATCTTTAAAACAAAAAGTCCATATGATAATAACCTAAATAAAAAAAATCAAAAATACATGATAGCTGTGTGGTTTGAACCCACAATCTTGAATACTTAATTAGACATCTTATACCACTTGGCTAAAGTGTATTTCATTGTTTGTGACCATCTTACCAAGACTATGTGTGTTTAAAAAATATTTTTATGATGATGACATTAATTAGTTTATGCATGAGAGCAGTGGGAATTGAACCCATGTCCTTAGAGACCAAACATGGGATCTTAGACCACTTGGCTAAACTGATATTCTTTGTTTGTAGTTATTTTAAAAATATCATATATTTTAATATAAAAATGTGAGACCCACAATCCGCCTATGTGGACACCTTAAGGAGCCTTTAAACTCAATCATTATAATATATATATAATAGATTCCCACAAACGTGAATGTTGGGCCAGTTATTATAACAGAATGTAAGAATATTAAACTTTCTAAAGCCCATTTTTTCCTTTTAAGAACCTTGTGTGAACGTAACGTATTTGTTCGACGGCCCAAATGTTATCAAATAACTTGTCTTTTTTTTTTTTTTTTTTTTTTTTGCAAAATTATCAAATAACTTGTCAATGTACATATTTTTATGTTTTTACAGTTCTGGTATTAGAGAATGAGCTTCTATTCCATGAGCCCATAACCTAACTAAAGCCTATAATTATTTTACCCATCTTTGTTTTATGAACGTAGTTCAATGTTTATTTGAAATAGAAAAGGAGCAAATGATAAATTTGGACTTAAAAATATAGTATATATATTGGACTTTCCACAATCCGTCCCAAAATCAAAACAAAGTATTGTCGCCGCGTCCTAATCCTGTCACGTCCTTAACTTCTCACGTGTAAAGTACTTTAATTTTTGCAATAGTAACTCAGAAACTATATCTCACTAACGAATCAATGATTTTTTTTTTCGGGGCGAGTTGGGGGGGGGGGGGGATGGGATTTGTCTGATGATCGTTGGGAGGACATTTTTAAAAAGATAAATGTTTCAGTACGATATATTTCTTATAAATATGGAAATTCTTTTTTTTTGGACAATATTTTGATTATGTAGTGAATGTTATGATTTAGTAAAAAAACTGAAAGTTTACCCAAAAGAATAACTAATAATAAAATATGGGCTTTCAGTGGGCTTACCACTATGGGCTATGGTGGGTCCTTCGATGAATCATCGCCAGCCCGATTTTTCACGTCGCAATCACAAATTTATTCTTAGTTAAGATAACTTTATTAGTAGAAGACAAACATGTCGCCACCACGGTCCCAAGTCTCTTTCCATTAGTTTCTTCCTCAGCTTCACTTGTTCGTCTTTCCTTATTAAGGTAAGTAAATATATCTGTTAGTTTTAGCAACATATGAGCACACAACTCCAATTTATGTAAAAGAGTAAAAAAGAGTCCCCGTCAATGAAATATCACATTATGCGATTTTCACGCATTTTAAAGCGATGAATACTACTATAGAAAATATAGTCAAGATAAACAATGAGTCCACTAATTATCGACTTTTTTCTTATGAATGTTGAAGATTTTGACGTTACATGAGAGACTTTGGTACTAAGGATCAAAATTTAGTTGGGTGTGACAAAGATCTTAGTGTGTACCGTAAGATGGACAAATATATCCACTAGGCACTAGGAAATAAATCGAAACTTCAAATGATTTTTAAATATATCCTAGTT